TGCCAGATTACAGTAATTAAGAGTTTAAAAAAAAGAGTTCTGAAAATAATATCCACATGCGATCTCTTCTACTTTCAGGAGCATTTAGTTCTGCCATTAGGACAAGGACAGGTCACCTCTGCTCATTCTATGTCCTGCCCATATGAGATCTGACCAAAAATCTTTTTGGGGACAAGGGTTGGAAAGACCAAAGTTAGTTTTCAGTTTGATAACAATACTAAATGCAGAAACATGAAACCTGACTGGGAGAAGTGTTTTCCTAAGAGTCACAGAGTCAGAAAAGAACATATACTTTCAAATGTCAGGCAGTGCTTTCCTGACTATTGCTAAATGATGAAATACTGTGGAAGACAATTTATTAGCAATATATGCTTAGTCACTAGAATTTCAACAGAACTTGGACTTTAACAGCAACAGGAGCTTTGGCAGAGATGGTACAGAGAAATGTCTACTTGTTAGCCTGATCTGATCTTCCATCCTGGATGTACAGAGTTGTCAGCATTTTCTGTATGCATGAGTATACACACCTACCTACGTATGTGTGTGTGCATTTTGCCTCAAACACACAGAAATCTAGTATGCTGTCATATTTTTAAAGTGAATTCCAGCAACCCAGCTCTACAAGAGCTGCAAGACAAGTCCTCCTGCTTCTGACTAAGCAAGACAGGCAGAGCACAGCAGCACACAAGAGAGTTATGTCCTCAGAAGACATAGAAGAAACAGCAAGGGTATAACTATTATACGTAAGGCTTTACAGCAACTACTTTGTCAGTCAAGGGAGATTTAAATGCTCAAAGATGACAATCTGATGGACTATGCAGGAAGATTTTTCCAGGGAAGTAGACCTCCCTTTCTCCTAGTGAAATTACAAAAAGCTACCCTTTTAAGCGAAGCACATTGCTGTGAAGCACTTTATTTGGGTAAATCATGATTTGCCCACTAGAAAAACCTGCTTGAGGAATGTTCTTGTCAAGTACAAGTGTTACCTTCTCTATGAGGCTTCAGGTAAATCACGCCCAGCAAGCACAGCCGCCTGGTTAAACTGCACCAGTTTTAAACAACTGCTTCCTTTAAGACTGACTTGATCTAATTTTCCTCTCACCCTGCAGTAAGTATCCCTGACATCAAGCGTTACCATACCAGGCACTGCAAGAGGCAGAACGGGAACAAATGCAAGCTCCCCTTTGGCTACTGTCTGTCACTGCCTGCTTTTATATAAACAAGTGCATCCAGCTTGAGCTGTGCAGAGCAGCCTTGCCACTGCTTATCCTCTCGCCTCCTTCGGGAGCTGCTGAGCCACTCAGGGACAGCTGAGAAGTTTGGATAACAGATCATTTAAAGAAACAACATCCTCTCTCTCTACCCCATAGTGACTGACTCTTCAGCTCAACTCCAAAGGCAAAATATATCTATTTCTCAAAATCAGAACTTCACGGAGTGGAAGCAGTAACAGTAATGTCCTTCTGCCACACGGTGGGGGTAGAGCAGGGCATTTCTGTAACTCCTGAGGAGGCATTTGCCCAGCTATTCCACCATGACACTAGCTCTCAGTTATACCGTGCTGTGTCAGGGACTCTTCCGTTCCCTCTGTCCCGATTCAATTTAATAGACTTCCACAATCACCTATTTAACTCAGAGCTCCAACACCAAGGGTTGCTGGTGGTAGCAGTAATAGTAGTTCTCACTCCTCTGAATGGAACAAAATATGCTCTAAGCAAAGTGAAACTGGCTTGGAGCCAGCTGGAGGGTGAGATGGGGCACACAGAATAGGTTCAAAATCTCAGGTCTACTGAAAATATAGAATATTCCCAATATATAGAAGATAAAATATTTATAAGGTTATTAAAAGAGGAAGTTACTTTCCCTCACAGGTCACAATTCATCCCCAACCACTATTCCAACATCTCCAAAACAGTTACCATGTGCTTATCCTACTCTGCAATATATATTTAGTCTCTTTTTTTCAAAAGTGACTACCCATAGGCTGGTGTAGAGGCAGGAATTCTTCACCACAAAGAATTCTTGCTGAATGAGGTACTACTCAGTGCTAGTAAGGATGACAAAACCAAAGTGCAAATTTTCCAGGAAAAAAAAAATTCTGCTGTGTCCATATTCTGAAGTGAACAATGAAGAGTAAGTCAACCCTTTGCAATTGTGGCCATAGTGTGATAAAGTATGTAAACTTACTTTTACACATAAAATTGCATCACTGACTATGGAGGCACTTAGAATTTCAGAGTACCCTATTCATTTCATGGTTTTGAAGATACAGCTTTAAACCATGTGGCAAGAAAGCACACTACCAAAACTCAGCAATGTCTGGAAATTTGGTAGTATCTGTGCAACATTTAAGTTTCATCTTCTGTAAAACATTTTAAATAAAGGACTGCAATAACCAGGTACATTTCTTCAGAGCAAAAGTTGTCATTTTGAAGGCAGTAAAATAAAATACTGGTAGACAGGGGATTTACAAACAAGTCTTCGATAAATCTACAAAGCAAAACAAAATGCACCAGAAACTAGGTATGAAAACCCCTCAAAAGAGAGAAACTGTTTTTCAGTGTAATGCTTAACAGGCAAATGGCATAAAAATCTGTATGAGACCATTGACTTTACTAACACAAATCCAGGCGTAGTTTGGCACACTGAAGCCTTGGGGACACCGCTCTACCTTCTGAAACTTGATTACACTGTGCTCCTCAAACTGTATGTAGAGGGACTCAAGTTTGGAAGGAGGGGGTTGTTCAAGTGCATCTATTCTGCCTGCTCCAATTATCTTGTTTCTGATGTAAAAACATTTTAGAGTAACAGAGCATCAACAGTGTTATGAAAGAAACAGCAACAATAATCACATAAATGTGGTTTCCATTTTTAGAAAAACAACCAAAGTCTTATGAATTTATTTAGCAGTTGTTCAGATAAGCATGTTTATAGTGCATCTGCTACAAAAATACTAGAAGTTAAGACAAGAGGATATACGCATATAGCTCCAGTTTAGAAGCCATTTGTCACACTTCTTCCTATGGCATGAGGATACTTCCAATGAAATATCACACATCTATCCAAGCAATCAAGGAGTACTGGTTTTGTCAATTTCTTTCTAAAGGAGGAGACAAAGTTTATTTCTAACACATTCAATCACAGACAAATATCCAGGGCTCAACCTGCTGTAAGACCAGAAGTGACAGAAGATCCCTGTGCATTAGTCAGTGGCAGCTGAGGACACAAGACTTTGAAGCAGCATTCAGCAGCTAGGACATGAACAGAAACTGACTGAGGGTTCTGGTGCTGCCATTACAACCTCCTGTGACTTTTTGTCTTCTGTTTACTTAGGATTGAAAGTAAGGACTTTGCCTGGTTGGGACTTCAATGCTATGACTGGTTGACTCTGAGTGCATTCTCCACTGGTACAACGAACTTAAAAAGAACCTAATCTGGCTAAAAATATTTCCTCCGTTTTCTGGGTTTTGAACTAAATGAGTTTTGCTCACTGAATGCAGATGTACACATGCCTCTACCACCACAGATTTGTCAGCATGTAAGTTTTTTCCAAAGACTTGTCTCACCTTTATTCTGAAAGAAGAAAAAACCACCCAAAAGCTAGCATATGCTGTATTAATGTAAAACCCCTAGAGGGCAACTAAGCTTCAGTTTCAACCTGCATAAATATTCAGCTCCTTAACTAGTTTACAGATTATGTAAACTATTTCCTTCAACCCTGTTTTTTTTTCCCTCATTTAAAAGAAATGAATCCTTTTCATTCTGAAATCACATTATTGCTGCCTATTTAGTGTAAGTTAATCACTGCCCAACCAGAGACTGAGTTCTCAACCCAACAAAGCTCAAATGTGCGCAAAAGAGAACAATAAAGAAAACACATGCAAAGGCTTCATTTAAACAGACAGAAAACAAGCATATGAAAGTCTGAAATCACTTTCTTTGCATTAAAGACCTTTAACAATACATCTTGTTTATTATTCAGCTTAGTATTAATTTATTGCACGGCATCTGTTTTCTTGTACAGCAGTCTGGTTGCAAGTCTCAAATTTATGAATCGAAGTTTACACTATTGAGATTATTTGCCTGTTTCCCCCTACATACCAAAATTTCAGCCTTATATATTTGGTGACAAAAAAAAAAAGTGATGAAATAGGAAACAAGATGTCAATTTAGTTATGAAAAATAGCTTCATTTAGATTTCAGTCTTTAGCTAGAGTCCAGGACTGCTGCCAGTGGTCAAAATAAAACAAAAAAAGGAAAGTAATTGGAGCCATAATGTAAAAAGCCTACATTCAATTACAAGTGCTCTTCACAAATTTTAAAATTGGTAACCAGTCTCCAGCTGAGCCTTGTTTGCCATAAACCAGCAGGCATCAACTCAGATCTTGCTGGGAGCTGAAAGATGCTATCCTGCCAGTCCACAACTGCACAGAACCCACAGATGCATTGATGCTTAATATTAGAGAAGGCAGTAACAAACCAATGGGATTCCCAAGATATGGAAGCAACCAGAGACAGTGAGGAAAAAAAACAGCTCAAAGGAATCCTTAGGAAATGCTTGCAAAATCCAAGAGTCTGTATATGGTTTTTGCAGGAGACCAAATGCCCTAACAAAAACCAAAACAAAAGCAGTGCCATCCTTGCTTTATGAATATCAAGTCAATGTCCCATATGCTCTGATCATGACAGCTCTCTTTCATTTATGGTCTTACCTCCATTTACATGTCTGAAGAGAGACTAAGAATAACTACCAGTAGAATACACTTTACCTCAATTTAGGCACCCAAAATTCTGACTGCTGAAAATCAGAAAAAGCTGATTCTGAAAGTACCTTCCTGTCCTTGATGGCTTGAGCCTTGATAAGGAAGTGGGGTAAGGGGACAGGGAAGAGAGACAGAGAGAGGACTGCAATTGGGATGAGATGTCTCCCATCCTACTTAACCAAAAATCAAAGGAGGAGTTTGAGGAGCTGACATAGTCTCCAAGGTTGTTCCACTTACAAGAGTCTCCTCTCTGAACACTGCAGAACAGGATGGAGTAGCTTCTATCCTTCTTGAGCTTTGAAAGACTGCAAAACGGAGAAGAAGAAGGCTAGACTGTTTCTTGCTCACATTCATCCCCTCTGATTGCTTGAAATACAACAAGCGTTAGGTGTTGATTTTTGTCACAAATTCAGCCAAGGCTTAGAGACCTGAGCACTTGACAACTGCTAGTACAAAAATGCCCAAGTAAAATGTTATTGTACAATCAGTTCAGATGCGGACACACAAAAGATTGCAAGTACCAGATCTCTTTATAACACAGTAGAATCCAGACAGCAGTGTATCAACCTTACAATCAAACTGAAGATGGTGACTGTATTACATGAGAAACAAGGGGATTCTACCTGTTTCACACAAAAGAGTTATAGTCAAGTTACGATTTACTGCTTATGTGAAACGTATCTGGCTGAACCTGATACCACAACCCAAACAATGTTACCTTTAAGTACTTTTAACACATTCACAGAGGTGATTATTTCTCTGCTTTATTAGAGTGGCTGAATTAGCTTTCAGGCAAGTCAAGCCATTGCAATTCAAACATTAGGGCCACAGAGATTTGTAATATCAGGTCTGGAACAAACAGCACTGCAATGAAACCACTGCAGAAAACAAAATCATGAACAGAACAGAACTGTTCATCTGAATTACTGGTGAGAGCAGATAGCTGAAGCAAAAGTTTGCAACTCTGTTAAATATCTTCCTTCTGTAGAAGCAAAAAAATTATTTTTTGGGGTTGTAGTTTAGTAAATATTCTTTGCCCAACAATGAATGTTTCTCAATGATTTGTGCAGTCAGTAAGTAGTATTTGCATGAATTTGACAGCAGCGTGAAGAAGACAGATCCCCTCAGCAGAATTTTGGTTTAGAACTGCTGAAGTCTTATAGTTACTCAACAGATGGAGCATATCAAAATAAACTTACACAACAGTCTTGCTGAAGCAAAAGAATCTTTTCCACACCATTTTCATGCCCCACAAAGGACTCAAAACTTCCTCAAGCTGTTTGGAATGTATAAAATAAAATGTAAAAAATCATCACACATACATACATGAATATGCTTTTTAATGTCCTTAAATTTGGAATAGTTTTCAAAAGTATGGGGACACCTCTATTACAAAGAAAAAAGCTGACGAACCATTAATACTATCACTGAACTGTGATGAAGCATTGTTACGTGTAGCTAATATAAAATATTTTAAATATAGGACTTCTGGTGTAAGTCACTGAAGACACCAGAGAAGCTGTGAGCTCTTCTAGTACCCCATTAAAGATTAGTTAATTACTAATTAAATCTTAAGTTATATAACCCCAAACGCTATACATTCTTTTATATTTCTCTTGTCCATGTTCTATGGAAAGCAATGGCAAGTTTCTGTTCATTAACTAGATATATGCTGAAGCCTACATTTAACATAAAACAAACCAAACCACTCAGAAAAGACATGCAAAGAAGCACAAGGAGGAAATCAGGACAGGTCAGAAATGACAAAGATTATTTACACCAGAGAAAAATAATGAGTTCTTTTCAGCACTGGCCTTATGAATCATTTTGACTGGGCTGTCAGAGTCACTGTAGAAAATTATCACCCCAAAGGCAGGAAAAAAAGTAATAAGCAAGAAAGTTTGAAGCTGCAGACTGTGAGCACTCTTGTTTACTGGATCTAATTTTCTTCAACCTGAAAGCATGAGTTCTGCTTGTGAATTTAAATGTCATTTTTAACATCACAGCATTAAAGATCTTGGGGGTTTGTATTTAAAATTCTTCATGCTCCTGAAAACAACTCTGGAATCTCAGGGTTCAACACCTTCCCTAAACCATTTCAGTGACTTTGATAGAAATAGTTTTCCAGAATGGTTACCGAATAAGCCTTTTATCTTTATTTTTCCCTTTTGCCTGTTTAACATAAATCAGATCATCCTATTTCTTCTGTTTAAAGTTCTGCTTTTATTCAGATCACTGCCAGGAATCTCCCCAGTATCTGAGAACATAAATTGCTTGATATACAAAGAAAAGTTCGTTTAGGCATTAAATCCCAAAAAAAACTTAGAATGCAAAAAGCATTCTTTGAATGCTAAAATAAAACTAAGCACTGAAACATTAATCAAATTACAGGACAAACACAGGCATACTAGGTATGGCCCCAAGAGAAGATAATGTCTTCCCAAAGTCCTTTGCAGACCTGCATCCCTTTCATGTTTGATAAATGTGCCCCCCAAAGGCACTCAGGTTTGATAAGCATTTCACAGAACTGAGGGTCATGCTTTCGAAGCATAGCTAGACCAGACTAGATTGCATCAAGAAGTCCTACTTCCAACTATCTTTGTCTTTACACATTACACACTTTCTGTACATTCCCCACATATTAAACCATAGCATTCAGAAGGTCTTTTTGCAAACATTAGCTGTGTCTCCCTAAAATAACTTTTTTGAAGTCTGACAGTCTACAGCCATAGGTGAGATTACATCTCAAGGCACAACTTTGCAGTGCTTTAGTTTCACCAGCATCACAAGCATCCCATTACAGCAGAGTATGGGACATTTCTGTCACCAGGAAAAGGTGGAAAAAAAAAAGCAGGACCTGTATCAAGCCTGGCATGCAAATGAAACAATAATTTTTTAATTTTGTGCTTCAAAAAGAACTATTTAAACATGCCTGAAATGTGTTGTTGATCTGAAAGCTTGAAGGGCATATTCTGTGTATGTTGAAGAGGAGGGAAAAGAAGAACTAGAACCTCCTTGAGGATTCCAGATCACAGCCAGAAAGAAAGAAAACTATAAACTGTACAATATTATAGGTGACAAAAGTAATACAAGGAAATCTTGAACTTAAATATCAGAAGCCAAATAAAAAGGCATTATTGACTTAAATAAACCTTTCTTTAAACTTGTTTTAGGGAAAAGGTAAGAAGGCAGATCTCTTAATACCATAATTAAAGTCCCAAATTCCCTACAACCATTTCAACTCCTTACCAATACAATGGATAAATACTAAGAGAAGAATCTGTTTACTCCATCCAAGGGAAATTTTCATGCACAGGTCTTCTACATTATCTTCTTCAAAATTCCTCGTATAAGTTCATTTCCTACTCATTGTTCCATCAGAATGACTACCTTCCCTCCTTTCCTTCCAAATCCTTTACTAGTATCCTTCTCAAATCTAGGATACAGCAGCTAAACTGCTTTTCTTGTTCCCTGATCATAAATTTAAAGCCTCATCCATATTTCCAAAGCACTGAACAGCTCTAGGATTCCTTGATCACCCCCTTTCCTATCCTCTGACCAGCTCTGCAGCTCTTGATTCCTCATCCAAACAATCTCGCCTTCTGTTACATGATTAAACTTCCTGTAGAGGTATCCATCCTGATTTGAAGCAGTAAATGTTCCAAGCAGTCTTTTCTGAAGGACTGTTAAAATTCAGAGGGATGACAATTCAATGTTTTATGACTGTTCAATACTGTAGCCTTTACTCCCTTCTTCGGCAACAGACCTTTAAGTAAGATACTCCTCAGAGCACAAATCTCCCCACTCTTTCTATGCAGCACCACAGAGACAACTACAGGAAAGCAGTCATAACAACAACAGAACTAAATTTGAAGGTGGGAAAGAGGGGAATTATTTTTTATTGTTATTAAGCAGACCTGAAAAATAATGTATAAGAACACAGTTCTGTTCAGCAACCGACAACATATCTCTACCATAAAAAAAACACCTGTGCATTGTCAGTGTTGTAACCAGAGGACCCATTAACTACTACATCAAAGAAAAAGTGCTAGAGGGACAACTCCCTCCGTTTGAGCAAAGAAATCTTTAGAACTACTGCTCTACATGGAAAAAGAAGCTGATAATGTTTTCATCCCAAAACAGGATGCAAATTTGAGATTTCATTGTTTTCAGCAAACAATGAAGAACACTTAGACCAAAAAGCATGAAGAACACTTAGAAAACCACATCTTATTTCAACTTTGTGTTCCTTTATTGCCTGATAAAACCTGTGATTCCTGCCCCAATTTTTTACCGGTTCTGCTGAGTCACAACATCCTACACAAAGATACGTACAACAGGTACAGGTCTCCAACATACAGGAGATTGAAACTGCAACGCTCATAATCCCATCTCATTAAATCAAAGCATATTAAGTAAAACCACAACTCCTGTTCTGATTTCCATTTAGTATTAACTCCTGTTGAGCTTCATTTCAACTTCTGAGATTTTGGATAACCAATTTTCTTTAGCAAATACACTTAGTCGACTTCACGTGTGTTCTAAAGAATGGACAAAAGCTTCCCCCTATCACCTTATGCTGAGTACAAGGCCAATGTATTACTTTTAGGTTGCCTGAATGCTCACTATTTATTGTATTTCTGAATACACAGTAGCAACTTTTTGACCAAACTAAGTTTCATTTTCCACTGCTGAACCAAATGGTATCTATACAACACATTCTGACTTCAATAGTTGAAAAATAACCTCTTTTCTGTGTGAAACTAACCCCAGGGTAATATTAATAATTCATATACAACATAAATATTTATACACAGGCAATGGGAATATAGCATGACCTCTTAAAAGGATTAAGATTTATTTACACTAAGTGCTGCGTAACTGTTGAATGTAGTATCTAAGAGGGGTTTATAATGCAAAATTGCAGAGCAACTGCTTCATACATTGCTAAGGACAGGCAGCTAAAATAACAGCTACTGTGAGTCACATGAACTGCCATTGCTCTGTCCACCTACACCACAGTAACACCTCACTGTAACACTCTAACACTGCACCCATAGGTTATCACCACCATCAATTGAATGGATGCAGAAACCCCCTACAGAATCCCAAGTTTGCATTCATTTGCTGGTAATAAAAATGACTGACACAGAAGAACCAAAATGTGTCAACTGCAAAAGAAAACTATGGGATCAGCAAGCCCCGTATATTATGTCTGGGAAAAGGTATTAGTCAGTGGCTGGAACAGTACCCTCACCCTTTTGTTGGGGGAATAACTTGACCATGTCTCCTCCACTATGGACACTCACTTCACACGGTGCCATAAATACTGATCTAAATACCATTAAATACCCCAAGATCAGTAGATACAGGCAAGATCGAATATTTCTGTTTTTATGGTTTGTGCCAATCTTACCTTACCAGGATCCTAAGACACAAAACCAGCTATTCAACCTAACACTGTAGAACTGTACTACTGGAGAACTGGAAACAGAGCACATAAAAGGCATATACATCAATGCTGGCATCCTTTCTGAAAAAAACAAGTTTGGAGAAATTATGACAGAGAAGGGACTGTTAAACTTTTGTCATCAGTGGGCAAAGAATTTCCAGGTACAGAAGTCAAATGAAGACAGCAACAATGATTCAGTTTTAATGGGGAGTTTGTCAGGGAGTAGTAATATGACTAAAGGGTAGAAATAACTGATGATTCTGATGCTTAGTTTCAAATTCAACTCTTCCAACAATCCAACAAACGATATAAAAGCACAAAGGCAATTAGGTTTTTTATTCCCTTATACACAGCTAAAGTATTTCCATTCTGCAGATGTTACAACACATGAATCCAGTCTGGAAGAATAGTTTTCCTCCTAAAACTGGATTACCAACTGACCTGGGTAATACAATAATTGTATCTCACCATACGAGCTGTGAAAGAAGCAATCCTATGGTTCAACTTTCAGCAGTTAGCTTGGGGAGCTCTTGTCATGGATATTACTACCATGTACTACAATAATCCAAAACCACACAGGTATCCCCTATTTAAACCAGCATTTGTTAAGAATATGTAATTAATCTGGGCTGTGTTAATGTATTTATGATGGGCAGGGAAATCAATTTGAAATTCAGGATCTTAGCTGGAAACCAATAAAATCTGTAACTTGAGAAAAGCAAATTGAAAGACTGGACAAAACACAGGTAATCAATCTCTTGAGGTTCTCATTTCTGAGCTCTGAACTATCAATATCACTTCAATATCTATACATAAAAATCTCT